TTATAAAATCATTAATGCGCAAATTACTGTTTCGAAGTTTTATTCTGTCGAAAGCCATGCTGCAATCGACATATAAACGTTATTACGAATAAGACACAGGCATATTGGACAAAAGAATTTATGAGCCTTACACACATTATACAGCCGTTTGCTGTATGGCCCAATTATCTGGGAGCGAGAATATAATTTTCGCTGTAAACAACTTGAGTGGAAAACGGTTTCTATTGCTCTGCTTGTACAGTCTGCTCTGAAATCTTAATATCCGTCTTCCGCCATTTAGAAATCATTCAGTGCTAATTAAGTTAACCACTCTAGAAAACAGAGGAATAATGCTAAATGCATCTTTTATTCATAGCTCTCTGAATGGCATATCGCACCGATTGCCAAGGCATTTTCGAATACTTAATACAAATCGCTACACAATAAACTATAGTAGCAACAGCATTCGGAGATTGTGGCGGCAATATAATGAGAATTATAAATTAATTGGCTTTAGGGTGAGTGCTCTTATCACTAACTTGGACATTGTTAAATATTTGAACGCTCTGTAACGAAATGCTCTATCAATCCATGTTGGCGATTTGCTGAACGACGTTGCAACTGACACTTGAGAACCCATTCGGTCCATAAGTTAAGCAGAAATGGTCCACTCCCTAGAGAGGAGGAGGGCGGGGTCGTTAAAAACAAAAAAAAATCGCTATATCACAAAAAGCAAATCGCTAATAAAATTATACGGTACCGCTGCTTTGAAATATGTGCGTGCACAACAGAAAATTCGATTTATGTATTTGTAAACGATAGCATCTTGTGCCACTCGTTCTCCTTCAACCGAGATGCAAAATAAATGTTGCATCATAAATGACACATTTAGAAAATGTCTAGACGATATTAGGCAAATAAGCTAAACTACAATGAATCGCGGTGTTGCCTCCTATGAAACAGAAGAAGTGATGAGTATCTCTTCCCCTACGCTGAAGAAGAACCCGCAATGTTCTGGGCATGAGAATATAAAAGCACATTCGTTTGACGAAGCATGCGTTTAAAATTTCAAAAAGTCCAGTCAAGTATCTAGAGTCTTTTGAAGCGATGATGACTATAAAGCGATATCCGTGCCAAAATTAGAGCATAATCTGCAGGTAAGAACCAGGGCTTGCAGGTGTTGCCTGGAAACCGTCGATGGTATACGAAGAAGACCTTCGACGTAATGTGAGCTGTGATGTGTTTGTAAGTAGTATATCCCGCGCAATATTTCCGCCCAGATAAAATAGATTTATCTACCAGTTAAGTCCATTGAAAGGACTATTCAGCTTTCTCAACGTTCCCATTTAGTCGTCCTGAGCTTTCCATAATCGCTTAACATACTGCTGCGCCTCGCTGTTCTTTAACCGCAATGCTCGCTTTTGTACTTATCCGTATGTTTCCACTTTTAGACCGGACGTGTCCATGTAGCTGTTTACTTAAATAATGGATATGCAAAAAGTAAGAAAACGCTATTTACAGCCCGCCGCAAACTATAAAAAAACATCCAGTAGCTTGGACTAAGGACAATCTCTTTATGGATAATCATCCGCTTAATCATCCGGATACATTCAGTATTCAGTATATTTACAACACTGCCTATGTGGCCTTAATATGCCTCATATTGTACGATTGCACGATAATCGTTATTTTCTGGAAAAATTTGTACTGTGTACTGTTTTCACATGTAAATGAATAACTATGAAATCCTAAAATTACTCATTCGTGGATTCAAAAACACAATAAGTTGTTTTGAAATTCTTAGTTGTTTGACTGCAGACGTGGTAAATGCTACAAGAGGGGGTCATCGTGATTGACCAATCTTGAGATCAGAATAGCGCTGTTCGGCTTTCTTAACCTCAACCTTTGCGTTACTCCAAACATGACAGGTATAGTTATCAACTGCTATTGTTACGGCGGAAGTAACGGCAGCATCTGTCTGTATGCTAAAGATCATGCTAAAAAATGACTCTATCGATTGCAATGGTTGTCAGCAAACAAGGAACAAGGAAGGATTCTTTAAAATCCGGCTTTCAAAACTATTGACAAGCACAACAAGGAGTCGAGTAATAAAGCCCTGATAGTAACATTGTTCAGATATAAAATAACGCTTAGAGAACTTTTATAAATTTCAGAAACTGAATTAATGGCGATTAATTAGTTGAAACTGTCCCTTACGTATTATTGTCGACGTTAAATTCAAGTGCGCGACTAGGAAACGATTTTCATAGTGAGTTCTTCTTAAGAATTCAAATAAAATACCTTTTTCTTTTAATTTTTAATTACTTTACTTTAATTACTTTATTAATAAATAACTAACCCGTACTATATTGTAATACACTTATTAATGCATTACTTATTGTTTATATTATACTCTAAAAATTGCTAAAGCAAAACAAACGATAATCCATGGACTTTCATTTCCATCTACCGCATTAGAGCCATAGTTCTATTTGGATGCTTCAGTTGCCAAAACGATTAACTCCATAAAACAAGAAGTTGAGAAAAATGATAAAATATTATAGGTTGTTTTTTAAAACTCTTTTCAAATTAAAAATTTAAAAATACGACGTAGACTGTATTATTGCAAACGCCCATTTGATTTGACGACATATAGAAAGTATAAGATGGAATGCACTTGGAGTAAATAGTTATTATTACTACAATTTTTTCGTGATTGGTGGAGTTAATCGATTTGGCAACTGAAAAAAAAAAATAATTAATTCAAATTCAGTATTTAATTCAAAGAATAATTCATTCTTTTATTACGGAAAATGTCGCTATTTAAACATATCGTTACGGAAAGCACTGGTTCTATATTTTCTTGTGTACATTGCGCGATGTAGAGATCGTACATTTTCTTAATATTTAAGGCCGGACTTAAATATTTTCTCCTTGGATTATAAGCTCTTGTGTAGTGGCTTGTTTATGCGGAGAATGAGTTTATATGTTTTATATCATATGTGTGATCAATTTTGTTACCTGGAACATGGCGACCACGATGGTCAATCAACTATGAAACTTGTTCCTTACAGCAGCAGTCGTGTAGTCGCCCGTTGCTTATCTGATAGGTATTGTTACAATATTTTTTGCAAAACGAAATATCTTTTCCGAATCTTCGAAAATAATACGTGAAAGAACAAGATCTCGGAGTTTTAGTGTTATTCCGGCGTCCGAAGCCTGCTTTTTATTTCTTTGGCTTTAATGCACCCTCTTAAAAAAATATTTTGCTCAACTTGAGACTCTAACTGATAAAATGCCTCCACGGCAGCGTTTCTTTCATCCGAAATGATTTTTTTATTGCACTTCTGACGACATCAACATGGCAGATTAATTTAAATTCACAATAAAATTGAAATTTATAAGCATCTTCACTTGTGGCAGTTCGAATACAATTAATTTATCTTTCTCGTATTTAGTTCGTGTGAGCGATAACAGCTCCCGTCTAACGGGAATAATGAAATTAACCGAACAACTTACAGATGTCTTCGTAGGAGCGGGAAAATAGATTTTTATTATGATATAAATACATTCCAGTATCGAGTTAATCAGATTGGCGTCTGACAAAAATTATTTATTATTCAGTGGCCAAAACGATTTTGTCATTTAGTGGTGTTAATACTTTTTATTAGAGAAATTCGTTTTGAATATGTACAGTTAGGACTTAATGGAGTGCTTTGATATTAAAATTTAAAAAAATCCCAAAAATGGAGTTAACCGATTTGGCAACTGAACCATCCATTTATCAATAAGAAAAGAGGCCAATGATTGCAGCTTCAATGATTATTATAATAGGAAATTATTTTTTCTTGTTTTTTGATAATTGTAGCTTGTAAGTATTGGTTTAAAGTTAAATTCAAAGCATACAACAATAGTTGGCGGAAGGCTCTACATTTGTCTGCTCCAGTATTTGAAAGATTGATGTGAAATTTTTAATGCTACAATTTTTAATAATACGTGAGCAATTTAAAAGGGTTTTCCTTTTGAATACTTACTGCAAAACATGTCAGCTAAAATCCGCTACGCAGTTTGTTGCAAATAACGAATCATTTAAATACATGCTATATTAATTAAGGTCGACATTTTAATTGTTCGATTCCTTTGACAAAATTTAGCATGATGCATACTCTTTTTAAGATTACATCCTGTTAGTTTTTCCAACTTTTTCCAAAAATTACCGTTTAATGCAAAACATGGTACGCGATCGATAAACTCGGATTATTATTAAAAACTCGGAAAAATCGGTCATTCTTTCCTTGGAGATGTGTGTCTTATTCGCATAGGAACATTATAGAACTTGTACACAGTTTCCAATTTTGCACAACGCTTTCATTTATTTCAAACAAAGTAGGACTAGCACATCTAAAGTTCCTGTAAATGAGTGATAATTATCACATAGTCTTTAGAAACTTCCTGCGTGAATTCTATCATAGGCATAAGATGGCTTAGTCAGTTCCACTATTGCTATTAACATCAAACGAGTTTTAACTGAACTCAGCGGCAGACGCTGAAAGATGTCTTAATGGAATTAACTTGACTAGAATGGTTATTCTTGGCTATTCCTTTCAAAGCAATTACTACGAAGATCTTCGTTAAGGGAGACGTTTGTGTTCGTCGTGGTCAAATGAGAAATATCTTCTTTAGAAAACAACGAAAATATGTGATTCGGTATCAAGTAATGCGACCAAAGCTCAAGATAATTTGTGTTTTCGTGCTTTATATTTTATTGCGTAACACCCTGAAGCTGAAGCTAGTAAGTAAAAGTTTTATTTTTTCAATTCATTTGACTTAAATGATGAACATCTGGTAAAAGGTTTAATGGAAGTAAAAGGTTTTTAAATAGAATTCAATAATAAATAAATTTTTAATATAAATATAATATGTTTTGATTGTAAAGATAACAGACGAGAAACAACTTTCGAGAGGAAAGCATTAGTTTTTCTTTAAAAACGAAAATCTTTATAAGGCACAACAACGTTCAAATGGCTAAATTTATGGTAAAACTGGACGCAAAATTTTCTTTGCCTTAATTGAAAATTTTTTTTTATAGGGTATTTACCTTTTGCTAACTTTGGGCGCCTTGTCTCATGCGCAAACTCAGACTCAGGATTTGAATGTTAAAGACCATGAAGACAATAATAAAGCTGTACTTAAACGCAGTTTGGAAACTTTAGTAGGTGATACCGCTCCATGGGTAGGTAATTTCGGTGTCGCCGGTATTAAGCTGGCTGCGTTACCGTCCACTGCTAATCCGTGGAATTCTTGGAGGTAACGATAAATATTACATTAAATAAAACAGTATGCGCTACTTAAAATTTTCTCTTAAGTTCACATCGCTTTATATCTGGCCCGTCACCGAATGAAGTGGCCAATGCAATAGCAGCCGCTAAACAGGCTTCAGCTAATGTCCTTATCGCTCAACAGCAAATGCAGGCGGCCAAAGAGAACGTTTTGCAGCAGCAACGCTTAGCAATGGAAAAGGAAGCGGCTGCTGCCATACTTACCCAGAAATCAGAAGCAGCTGCCGCTATACAGCGCTCTGAGGCGTCAGCTGCTGCGCAAGCTGTAGTCTTAGCTCAACAACGGTTGGCCGCAGCAAAGGCAACCGTATCCCATCAGCAGCGCATAGCTGCTTCTCGTGAGGCCGAGGCTGCCTCGGCCTTGCAGCGTTCAGCTCACGCTGCAGCTGCTGAAATACAGAAAACCGAATTGGAAGCTTCAAAATTGGGACAATTTTCCCGCAATCATAATGCCGGTGCTGCTCATCACTTGACATTGGCTAAGGACTCAGCTTTAAGTTCCATCAACGCCGGCACAAATCATGTTTCACTGGAATCTTTAGCTCATTGGCCCGGGTCAGCCAGTGGTGCCAACGCTAAACCAGCCTCTAGCGGTTGGTTGTAGATTTCTTTTTTGATAACGTTCGTTTGTTTGAGGTTTGACCTTTGCATTTAAAAAATTTAAGATATTGTTATGTACTGTACTATATATTCTATATTCAAATAACCGAAATGAAGTAGCTAGAAATTAACTTCTACTTACACCTTATTGCACATATTAGTACGTCCTTAGTTATGGATGCTCGAATAATGAAAATTCAAAGTTTCAAGGTTGTATCAATCTCACCTAATTAACGTCTTAAGACACGCTGATATTAAGTTTTTCAATCACACAACATATGTAGTGATACGCGGTACGTGATCGGTCAAGCGTAAAAAAAGAAAAGCGTCATATTTCTCGTACGCTGCAGAATAGTTTAAAAAATAAAATTTTCAATTGTCTGTTACTGCCTAAAGAAAGTCAAATTCACATAAAGAGCGATTATCTATCGCTTTCTGTTAGCTGCCAATGATTCTTTATTATAAAATTTGCAATATATAATTCATTAAAAGTTTTCCAATCCTCGTAAATTCCAGTGCATAATTAGAACGATCAAAATAAAAAGAACGCAAACCCATTATGGGCGACCAGATTTATGTAAAATCTCGACTTATTTTTCTCCGCTTTTGTTGATACGAGCAGTCAATTTGTCGTATTACACTGATGGGCTGATTTACTGGTAATGAATCAATCTGCACATGCCCATTACAAAGAACTCGTAACGTAATAAGGACAGTCTTAAATTCTCTAAATGTGCGTCTAATACCAATTTCTATGATAGTTGGTACGTCTGTTTTTTTTTTTAAATTTAACTTTAAGCTCTTGGCCGTTGGGTTCAATTCGAATTAGAAAATGCGTTTTTGCAAACGCTATTTGTATAGTCTCACCCACTGCTGCAAACTGTTATCTAATATAACTGAATAATTCTTGTGTGACATGTTTTCCATAAATACGGCGATTGGTTAAACATTGCAAAGGTCAAACGTACAGTTTTATGTTCCTAGAAATTACTGCTTGACGTTGGCAAAGTACACAAACAAATTACCGTATACATTGCGAATAATACATTTCGACTCGTGCTAAGTGCATAAAGGCCGATTGGTTGTAGCAAACACTCATAAGAGACATACGCTTTCCACAAACTCTACTATACGGCTGATACAATGCGCAACGAAAAATTCAATCAAATAAGCAAAAACCACACTGTTCCTTAGTTGTTTTTTATGTATTTTTATCTAATATAATTTATATTTATTTCCTTCTTAATTTGATTCGTTTTGCATATTATTTTAAACACAAAAATTTTTTATACGAATTTTTTTTTTAACTTAATAATATACATCACTTTTTGTTATTTTCAAGGTCTTACTTATACCAAAATAAATTTTCATAACGTATTTGTTGTTGTTGTTCTTTGCAAATAAATGGGCTTGATTTGTTATGAAACAGATATACCCACTAATATTAATTAATATATAATGAAGTGAACTTAGAAAAACATTGTGGCTGGGGATGAGATTCAAAATTTCGGCAACGCGCTACTGTGGATTAAAACAAACAAAAATAAGTTGGGAATAACGATTATTCGGTATGATATTCTAAATTAAGACAAACCCCAAAGTGAAGACCTAAAAAATAGTTATCATAAATTTTCTAGTACAAATATTAGCCGTTCAAAGAAGGCTCGCTGAATGGTTAAATACTGAATGAATACTTCTTTTGACCACGTAAAACGCCACTCCCAATGAATTAAGTAGACTCAAGATTGGGCAGGATGGATTAAAAGGCATCGACCAATTGTTGACCAAAGCTAGAACTATTTGAAAATAAAAGAAGAAATAAATTAGGTTTGGAGTGAATTTTGCAATACGCGCTACTAGTTTGTATACGACGTCTGATTGCGAAATACAGCGACGACATCTCTGCTCGATATACGTTATACATAACACTGTATGTATAACATGTTGTAAATATTATAAGAAATATTTCTGTTCGAGTCATCATTTCATAGATCGTATTTGCGTACTCGAACGCTTTTTTTTTATATACGGTTTTTGATAACTTTGAACACGATTTTTTCAATTTATAAACTAAAATAGTTAGAAAGTCGTAACATATAATTTACGACTTTTCTTTAATTAAAGTTTTGATGCAAGTTATGGCGTCTACGACGCATATTTCTATATTGCAATTATTCAGCAAATATGATCTATCCCAGAGGGTAAACGTGAAGACCCACTCTTCTCCATTTCCGAAATAAACAACAAATAATTTAAGGAATGTAAGGAAGTTTGACAGAAACTATGTATGGTTCAATGGTCAAAGACAAAATAAAAAAATAATACAAAAACGATACTGATATTTTGGATGAACATTTTGAGGAAACGTGATATAAACAAAAACTGTTGAAGATTAGTAAAGTAAAATTAAAAAGACTTGCAAATAACTGGCGAAATAATTCTTTGAACCCTTATTTGTCTCGCATTCAATTGAATAAAAAAAAATAAATATATAAATAAATAGAATAACAGTAATCTAAACAAAAATGATGGTTCTTTCCTAATATGTAATGATACAACTTATAAATAATTCTTATTTGTATCTTAAGGTAATATGGGCGGGGAAGTTTTTAATGCTTATGACAATAATTTTCATAATATATGTACTTAATTGAATATTTATGCTTGTATGGATGTAATTACTTATCGAAACGAACGTATTAGCTTTTAGTTCATACGGTACACGCACGTATGTATGTGATAGATGATTAATGGGTTCGATGTGAAATATATATAATTTTCTTGAATTTTTTAAATTTTATTTCGAACAATAATTCAATTTATCATTGATTTTGTAATTATTTAACTACTTACATTTAATTTAATTTCTAAAAATAATTTTTGGTTAATTATTGGTTTTTATTCGTTATTTTTATACCCACCGCCGAAGGATGGAGGTATATTCAGTTTGTCATAATATTTGCAAGACCCAAAACCATAGTATAGATGTGCGTTATCGGCAACCTCCTGGTCGCAAAAATGAAGATATCGGCTTCATTTTCAGCAGAAACATTGCACGCTTCCACAGGCGGGTTGATTATTAAAATGGGCGAAGTTGGTCAGGGCACACGCCCGCCGCAAAGCGTAAAGTGAGTGCAAGTCAATTTTTCTAAGCAAAACTTTGTAAGCTTCTTTTCACTATTCACAAATTATGAAAAATAAAAACGCGAAATTTTCTACATTTACTTTAACAAAAAATTTACTGTTTATATACAAAAATTGAAAAAAGCGGCCATGCCCACATAAAGTTATAAGTGATTACATTTTTTTTTTCGCCTTTTTGAGACTTTATGCTCATCAATCATGAAGTAAACAAGACAGAATGTTTAAAGTTATACTGTACATTTTTAAAATGAAGATATGCCTAAAATCGCGTTTATTTTAAAATAAATGTTGTGGACGCCACGACCTGGTGAATATATTTTTTCTTAATAACACCATCAATGAGGGTATCAAATAAAAGGACTTGGAGAGCAGCATGGGACAAGCTAAGTGAGTTATTGTAAATTAATTATCGGTTCCGTCACATCGTGTTCGATCATTTATTCTTAACAATGAAATATAAATTTTACCCCATTCACTTTTTTATTACATGCTTGCATTAATTGTGAGCAGCGACTTCCACAGATAAAAATGATGAAGTAAACACAACGGCTAAATTCGATTATTTTGACCTTTCTCTGCACAATATAACATTTTTCCATTCGGTATTATTAAATTATTCAATGTATACAGACGCTAATCATGGAAAGGTCAAAATTGCATTTCCTACATGCGTCACTTTTGTTGTTTGACTTAAAAAAACTCACTGACCAAGCTCGTAACACGTTGAAGGTTATGGTTATGCTGCTCCCAGCTCAAGGTCTCAAAAGACTTTCGAATAGCGTAGCACTTTACGTGCGATGGGATCGAAAAAAGGAAAAATAGCTGCCATTTGCAACGGTATCATCGTTGTGTTTCATTGCTCTCCAGGCAAAAAAAAGAAGAATTACGATAATCGCAAGCGTAAAAAGTCATGGCTAAGTCCGGAAGAGCCATCCTCATTGAAACCGATGCAGAATATTCATAGCCGTAACATTTTACTGTACGTAACCAGCAAGGTGTAGCGTGCTATGAGTTGCAAAACCGAAGGAAACTGTTAACGGGGATATCTAGCGATGTCAATTGGACAATTTGAACGATGTACTGCTGCAAAGAAGAGCAGCAATAGTGACTAAAATGCCTATCATACGAATTGACTGAAAATGCTATTTGGGCCACTTGTTGCAAAAGTTGCCAAGATTACATTTTCACTATTATAGCTCGAATAGGAAGTTGTGCTCAGCGCACCACTCACTTGCTCAGATCGGCGCAGCATGGCATGGATGGCAATATAAGTTCTTTCGACACGGTATGGCCATGTTGCCAGAAGTTGTAGGAAATGATGCAAAATATTTTATTTACATTATTATTGTACAAATTTTTTTAAGTGGTGATACCATCAAATTTAATGCAAGTACCTATTATGACCATAAATAAAAGCGTGAAGATAAAGATGATGATGGTGGTGAGCATTCGAGAATCGGCCACAGCCGAATATAACTTCCTTAATTGTTTAATTCTTAAATAATAAAATACAATATTGCAGTAATCAAGTCTTAGTTCGTGAGAAAATAATGTAAAATTAAATTAAAATGAATCAACATCAAAGCATATGTCAGATAGCGAAAGAGAACGAAAGGGCGAATGAGTGACCGAAAATTGTACTAACTACGAGGAACAATTATTATAATGCAAACCTACCCCTTAAATAAATATATTACATTTTACTGAATTAATTTACCGGTTAAAACTTGGTCCATATTTATCGATAGGCAACGAAAAGCAAATTTTTAATCTAACACATTACTTAAATCAGTGCTAAAATATTACCCTTGCTAAAGTTTGCAGATACATGATTGACGGAGAAACATGAATAGGTTAAAAAGCCTACAATTAATCTCATATTTGATCACACAGTTTTTATATAAAATTTTGCTTTTCAGGCAAATATTGACCTTACGTTACAAATGCAATTGAACTTTTTTTTATCCTTTTCTCCAAACATCGGCGAATTGCTGTGATAGGAAAGCAGAATCAAAAGTATTTGTCCTGTCAGTGAAAAATTGTTTTCAGTTAAAAACTGTCCTTATTCTTCAATGAAGTTTCTAATTTCTGTGGGCTTTAGACAATTTAGTCTCAAACAATAATTACTTTACTTTAATGAACGAAATCGGCAAAATTTACAGACAAGAAATGCTTTGTGCTCGAAGTGAACTGTTTTCCTGACATTTCTTTATTCAAATATGGGAGCCGATACAAGTTAGACATTACTAATTCGAATAATTCTCAATATCCAGGAGAAAAAGTTTTTATTGAAATTCAGGTCTCCATTTATGTATTTACTCAATCAAATAGTCCAGAGGGCTGTAACATATTTGTGAGATACTGTTTTACCTCTTGCAAGGTAATCAATAAGGACAATCCATTTTTTTTTTTTTTTAGTGCCGACTGCGATTGACATTAACGAAGGTGTCCTTTTTTAAAGACCTAGATTTCTTGCTGGCAACTCCCTCTCATCGAATACACTCTTTCGAAGCTTAAAGTTTTTTTGCACGTTTAACTGCTAATTATTACACGTTGTATTCTTTATTTTGTCGTTATTTTTCTTATTATTTCTAATTGTCATTAGTCACTTTCCTAATATTTTTTTCTTTTAATAGTTACAGTCATTCATACTTTTCATAAAAGACCAAAAATAAATTTTAATCTCACCAATACAATTGTTATAACAATAAGTAAAATTATGTGTGAGTAACATGGTTAAGTATGAAGCAAGTTACAATGAATTGTAAAATAATTTATAATAATGAGAAACGATCATGTCCGCGTTTAAGTGTGAGTATGTGAAGATTTTAATTAAATATAAGAATAACTAAATTAAGTTTAGTTGCATACTTGCACAAGAATATAAGTAAGTGATCAAATGAGTAAGGAATAAATGAGCAGAAAATAAACATGATTTATGAGTTACAAGTATTGAAATGGATGCGCAAATGCACTACGATTTATATATATTCGTTTTGACTTTATATAAAAAATATTTTTGATGAAATAATGGCGACTAGATGTAAATAAATTTCGATTATTTTCGGTTTAAGCCGAAGTGTTCGATACCCACTACCTTTCATAGAAAATAGTTTATCGAAATACAAACAAATGTCGACATACAGTGATCCTTCCATTTAGATATAGAAAATATAAATATTCTCATTTTGAAAACGTCATCATATGGTTTGACATGAGCCAAATATTCCGTTTTAAAGCTTCAAAACGTCTGTTCGTCACGCGAGGTCCAATTATAGAACCATTTTATATGATCGATGTTAACGAGGGAAAATTCGAATGACAATGTCAATAAAATAATGGATTTAAGAGTCCGATAAGGACAATAGTCCTTCACAATCATCTCTGCTTCCCGCCTTTCAAGTTTGTGGAGGTTTCGCCGTGTTAGCCGCTAAGATATCAAATATATAACGACAGAAATTGGCATTTATCAGTAAGGTAAGAACCTAGTGGCTTTCTGGAGACTGTTTTAACTAACGCTTATTAAAATATATCAAAGTATTATAAGGCATTTTGTAAATTTGAATTTCAATGCATGTCGTTAGGCATGAACCCAGACTTTATCTAAAGCTTTCGATTCCAATTCCTTTACATTACGTATAGAATCACATATTTTATCTTTCAGATGGTGGGTAATAAATAAATTTAAAAAAAGATGTAATTGTATATGCACTGGAGATTCGTGATTAATAACCTAGTTAATAAATATATATTTGTAAAATATTCTTTAACACGTTTAATTTGAAATTTAGAATAATTTAAAATTTTTACAATTATCAGTTTGGTCTTAGGATATTGTTTTTGTTTTGATATATGTGTTTGCTAATATATCTAGTTTATGCTATATATAGTTTAGATGGTTTTTGTTTCTCGTCTCTGCGTTATAAAAATTTTTCATTATAATAATACAAAAATTTTTTTTTTTCATCGCTTAAAAAAAAATATTTTTTAAACTAATTAAATCAATTAAGAAAAAGGAATATTTACGTTACGTTGGCGTTTGTTGCACTAACTCTTACACAGTCGTTCCGTAGGGATTGAAAACGGCTCGTGAACTATCTGTATCCAGGGAAATATCCTCGGGACTAGCCAAGTCGACGCGTACATTAGAATTTGTACGTCGACGAGTTGTTTGTGCTGCACCCCAATTGCTTAAAGTCCAATGAAAACCAGAATTGGGTGAATGCTCTTCCGCCACCTTTACTTGGGTGCAAACCTGTGTTAATATAATCCTCTTTCTTTAATTCCGTTGAATTTTACGTAGTTGCATAATTTTTAGCGGATGCTTCCTGCTGTAGCTTTCAACAACTATTTTTATGAAACAAAAATCTTTAACTCTTCCAGCTATCTTTCAAATTAGATACGAAAGCGTCTAACTAAGCTCATCCAAAACAAAGTTTTGCTCATATACATAAGTGCATGTTTTCATTTACTTTGATCGATAAGAAAGAATCTACTAAGTCTTTCGTAAGAAAATTAAGGTCATTTGGACAGCAATACCGTTACCAACTATGTCCTGATAATAGGAGATACGCGAATACTTTGATTCATAAAAAGTGTAAAATCAAATCTTTCTTCTACCACAAAAAATATATTTAACATTTGTTGGATATATAGATTTGAAAAGAGCCCAAAAAATAATATTCGTGACTAAAAGTTCTGGCATTTAACATCTTCTTGGTAGAGCAGCTCATAAAGCTCATCTTTGACAAATCTTTTATTTGCAAATAAACAAAAAACACTATTCGAATGGCAATGAAATTCACATACAGGTGCAATGATCATGTTTCTTACTTAAGAACTTACCTCGCGATTAACACAAGGCAGCGTTTCGGTGCCATTATCGACACCCGTGCCTGAGCCACCTGTGGCGGAGCCGGATTCTCGTGTACTACCCAAGCTACTGCTAGAGGCCAGAGAGTCATTGCTCGATTCCATTACGGCGTTTCGATAACGCGTCACTGATGACATCGCCTGAAAAAAATCAAATTTTTTATTAGCTTTTTTCATTTCTAAAGCTTTTATAATTGTAGCAAAATTTGGAGAGTTACCGCTTACCATAATCTCACCATTTTGACAGTCTTCAATAGATTTGAGAATTTCCCAGACAAGTTCAGAATCCAACGGTATAGGATGTTCAGCGTCACGATTGTAAATGTTAATGGCTATATGGACCGGATGTGGTACCGGCAGAGGTATTAAAAGCTTCTCAGTAGCACTTTTCTCGTCAGTTTTTTTTTTCCAAGGACGCCAATGTTGTGTATCGGGTAATTTACTTTGCTGGGCAGCACGATGAGCTCGCACACGCGGTGTAGTTAAACCTACCGACATATCTCTGCAGAAATTTACTGAATTTTTGTACAAATTTTTCATACGTTAAATTATTTGGAATAATACCTTTTTTCTGGTTTACGAAACGTTAATGTTATACGTGAGCGTGGATTAAAAGCAGTGACTTCTAAAAAGGGCAAATGTACTTGGACATTGCCGCGCGGCGCATAAACGTTACCCAGTAAGTCTAAGCCTTTGGAACCGATAACATCCGTAGCATTTTGTACCATTTCAGAATAACGCGTCAAATCGAGAGAAGGATGAGGTTCCAATTTGAAATGAGTATCATTTTCAGTTAGAGGAGTCAGAAAATCTAAGCTAAAGATTTCAGTGTAAATTAAACCAGCTAAACCTGGCCAATCGTTAACCGCTAACCCCTGGAATTGATCGAAAAAGCGCGTTATTTACGTAAATGAAAGGCAAAAACAAAAACAAAGGAAAGCTAAAGATACCTTGTTATCCCAAAATTCTTCTTCACTGATCGATAAACGTGCTATAATATGAGACGGATAGTATTTTTCCAAAATGTGGGCGGCAAGTTGTATGGCAATCTAAAATAGGGATAGACAAAGTTTATAATGTCGGCAAAAAGAAGTGGTGACTACAAAGTCTTACTTTTAATTCTTTTGTATTTAACTTGATGCGAGTTTTCACTTGTGTTGTTAAAGAAGTTTGTAGTTCGCGTCTACGCTTTTCTAGTTTCTCATGTAGGGTGGTCATTAAATCTTGTGCCTCCCGGTCCAATGATAAGTAGGGTCCCATTTTAGCTAATTGTGCTGAAAAGGGTCCAAAGCATGCTTCCACGAATTGCGAAAAGTCTTTCTGTGGCTGTAATATGATACGCTCCATTGCATGTTGATACGCCTGCAATTCGTCTAATTCCATTTTAGCCTCAAACGCAGCCAAAGCTTGCTCAGGCCGTATCATGAAGTAATAATCTAACGCCAAGCCCGGCCCGGCTATACGTCTCACAGCAATACTGTCGGAAGCAGGAACACGACCACACTTTTTGATAAATAAGTGGAAAGTTAAAGAGTCCCATAACAAACGTAAAGCATATCGTGCGACTCCCACTGAAATGTGAAGACAGGAACTTGAGTTTTTTATGGAGAAAGACTGGCAAAGGCAAACTCACCGACTAATATAACACCTGAAGCCAAAGGACACACAATGATGGCCACTAATACGGCTGCAATCGGTTGTAAACAACCTTGACTTAGTATATTCCAGATTAAAGCCTCTAATAATATGCAATAACGATTTCTATTGTTATTCGGCGAATCAATGTCATATATTAATATCATATACAGATGTAAAAATATGGTGAAAACTGGTATCCATAGCGGAGCAGTCAATGCTAATAAAATGCTTAAAAAACTTGTTGCCAAACAGAGCAATGGAAAGGCAAATAATATGACAATAGTGCCTAGGAAGCCTTTAATAAAGTAATTCCAAATGCGATTTAAATTGCGCGTCAAGCCTTTGCCTATGAAACCTAAAACAAAATAAAATAAAATTGGGTTATAAAAAAGAATAAAATAGCACTGTGTGCATGTGTCTTAGGTTAGTCTTAAGTAAAATAAAATCCGATTTCAATTGGAATTAAAACTAAATAAAAACCACCTAATAGATCGGGTAGATTTATAAAGTGTTTCATATGGAATATGAATTTAAATTCGAATAAATGTGATTGTGCCCGACAATTGAATCGGACCAGAACGGCACAGTTTTATAATTCAAAAATAATTCGAAGAGAATTTAAGAAGAATTTTAAAAAGAGTTTATAAAGACTTTTTGTAGAAATTGTAGGGAGATTTTAGATTCGAGAGTTTGAAACATGTTTTCAATGCATTCGAATAGCATAAGAACAAATTCTTTGTTAATCTGGATCGGAAAGCAAAACCGAATATATTTAGTATATAATTTAAATAGGAGCTTCGATTAAAATTTCGGAAACATTTTGATGCTATCTGCAGTAGTACCGAACTTTGAAATTCGGGTATTATTCGACTATAAAGCAAAGTTTTTTAAAATACTCTTTGAGTGCTTTAGGAAAATAACCTTAAAGAACGGATTTTATACATACGTATTAATTTAAACATATATTTAGATGGAATTTATATATTTATTTATATATTTTTATATTTAGAAGGAATTATGTGAGAACTTACCCGTATCTGGCTCAGTTTCGAAACGTGTACGCGATTTTGATATGTGTCGCCACAGTTCAATTAAACGCGAACCCATAGTCTGCGTTATACTTGTTTTGCGCGGAAAGAGTGTACCATTAACCTGTGATAATTCTAAATCAGGCATGAAAGGCTTGACACAAAATAAAGCTCTTAAACTTAATGGACTGCACCACGGCACTAATATGCCCAGAAGAAACATCATATTCCAAGTCCAACACCAAGTACGTTGCATAAGATTCAATAGTCGCCAGAATGGCCAACGTGTGCTAGTAGTGCGTATAATTTCCTTTTCAACTAAAAACACCGGTTGACTAGGATCTGAACGTGGTGTTACTATGGAAGTAGCCTGTTGACTAATAACTGTAGGTATTATATCAGATTGACCCTGAAAATTACGCCTGATTATCCAAGATTTTGGGGACCAAATACGACAGGCCCATTGAAAACTACGTGTAGGCGCTTTGGCGTTTTTCAGCTCCTTTAAAAGAACCGGCTCACGTTCTTTCATAAAGGCTAAATCACGGCTTAGAAAATAGGCAGTTTGTAGCAGATTATGTTTTGTGCACATTTTTAAGGCTTCTTCATGAGCTGACCAAGCGGATTTCTTGAATTTATGTTCTTCAGCGTGGCGAAGTTTGGAACGCAACCAAGGAGCAACTCTTGATAAAACGGAGTGATCATTGGCTAAACATTTCTGATGGTCTTCGCGGGAACGTTTAATATCACGTTGCACTTTTTCTACCGCCTTGTACATGATGACTACCGATTGAGCTTGTTGTACGAGCAGTTCGGGTATACCCACACCCAATTCCAAGAGTTTGGCATTTGATAGGATTGAAGAGTAAACACGCTGCAAATATTCTTTCATAACCGCTTCGTTGACTTCCTATGAGAAAATATTTTATTTTAATATCGAAGAGTACGGGTTCAGTAGCTAACCTCTTCAATTTCTTTGTCCGTTAACTTTTTAGCTCTTAGCTCAGCAATTAAGCGTTCACGAAAGTGTAAAAACCAACCTCGTGTCTCTCTTTCCAGAATACATAGCAAAATCGGTAATGCTTTGCGCATAATATCACGACAAAATAAGCGTAAATCTATTTCTTGACCTTTGGGTGTTAAGAACAGATACGGTATTGGTTGCGTTATATCGCAACTGTTAAAATCGAACTTCTCCATAGTAGCGCGGCGTAGTATTTTTCGAACGTATGAGCATAAACCATCCAAACAGTCTTCAAACTCAGGCTTAACAGTCGAAAAGACAATAACCATATTTTATGTAAGAAAATGTGTTAACCACTTACCCTACACACCAATTCTGCTATTAGAAAACGGCATCTTTCTTCTTTAATTTTATAGTCGAGATTATGCGCCAACAATGCGGGCACTCCTACTATCATATCCAGCAATTTAATTAAGCCGATCAATAGAGCACGAGCAGCATAAAAGACGGAGAAGAAATGCGAAAATATACGACTACGTGCAGTTACGACCAGAAAGCGTGCAGCTAAAGCCAAATCGCTTAAAAAGGAATCATGAGCTCGTAAAGTGCCCTTTTGAAGCAACTGCGACAGGCGCCATTTGTGCACTTGTCCAGAAAAATGCAAACTTGGAACGTCGAATTCCCTGTGATTTAAAATGTTTAAAAACAAAAACCGTCATTTTTTACTGTTTCGAAAAATTTTTTATAAAAAACATGCGTAAAATTTATTTGCTAGCTAAAAATATAAATTCATTTTGTTAAGCTTTTAAAGATAAGTTTATCTTAGCTTTTCAAAAGAAATATGTTTGACATTAATTGACGGTTTGGTGATAAATGAACAATTTAAAGGCTTTATGGTTATGGCTGACTTTTTTTCTTCGGGAAATACAATACAATAACGTAAAACGGGTAAACATTCAAAAAATTTGTCAGCTCTAAATTTATTCATAAAATTCCATATATGATCCTTTTTAGAAATTTTTTATAACACATGCGAAAGAAGCAAACTATGGAGCTAACAAATGAAGGAGAGGGTTTAAGGATTTTTCAAGAAAATATACTATGCCTTTTTTAAGAAACCTTTGAAAAATTACTTAACGAAATTAGAATATATTCTATCAACACTTGGACGATACAATCCTTTATAAGAATGGCAATAAAATTTTTTATATATATCAAACAAGTAAGAAAGTTACATTCGGCGGGAGCCGAGTCTCGCATATCCATCGCTATGGTTTTTGCATTCTATTCTTGAATGCTTTAATTTGATACCCCTATCGCTGGTGCTATTATGTAAAAATTAATTGCGTTGTCTACCACATTCATTTTAGAATCAACCCACTTTTGGCAGATAATAAATATTCATTTGAGGAACGTACAAAGCAGTTTCAAACATTCTGCTTTTTTTGTTACGAAAAACGGAGTTGCTTTCATTTTATTTACAAGCCCTGCTCTGACCCATTTAGCCCATTTTCATTACCAACCTGCGTGCAAAAACTGCCAATATTTCTACCAAAGTTGACCAAGAGAGTCCAATAGCACAGCACAGACGGACGGACATGGCTTAATCAATTTCACGCTGATCAAGAATATATATACTTTGTAGGGTCTCTAAAGCTTCCTTTTAAGTGTTACTTACAAAAAAAAAAAAAAAATAAAAAAAAAAAAAAAGAATGAATGTACCATCATCTTACAGTGGTGGCTACGAAAAATGAAATTTCAAATGGTTAAAGTTAATTTTAAAAAAAATAATATAATACAGCAAACTTTTTCGACCATGGATGCACAAGAATATTTTACATTTGTGTTAAAATTAGGCAATAAACTTTCGAAATATTGACTGTGAAATAATGCTCGAATGCTTTTAACACGTAGCTCAATTTTTTAAGTTAGATAGCGCATTTTATTACATTTTGTTTATTAGAACAAATTGGCCTGGTTTTTACCACAAACACGTACTTGTTATCATCATATCGGCTTACGCATTATACGAGTGCTTATCTCACAGAGATAACGTTGCTTGTTTCAGCGTAAAAGTAACATGTACAAGGAGCTTTTTGTTTCTTTCTCTTAAACCGTTTCAGCAAGTGGTTTACACCTCATTTTCGAGTGACATTACATTCTTTTTGTTCAATTTATACGAATTTGGAACGACTACCTCTAGTGGCACTTTTTTACTGCAAAAATGTTCAGAATTCCCAAACTAAGAACTCATTTGGCAATAGTGTGTTAAATTTTTCATTTTGAGCAGTTTTAGAACAATGTTCAAAAAGTGGGGAAATAAGCAATATTTTTAGTTAAAATTTAGCACAACAAATAAGATCGTACTTTTCTTTTATATATTTTCCTTAAATTAAATTATCTTTCAATTCGTGTGCATAACATTTTATGTCAGGTTACGGCCCCAAGAGCCTTGTCGTTTGATGTTTGTGAACTTATTAGTGCAAGCTCTGTTGGTGGGTCAAAGTATTTTGTGAGTTTCACGAATGATAAATCACTCCGCATATTTGTCTACTTCCTATAATCAAAATCTCAAATCGTTGAGAGGTTAAAAATATTCAAGCATTTCGTGCAAATGCATCGTATGAAACCTGTTCGAAGTGTTAGTGGCGACGAATAAGGAATTTTATGAATATTTGGAAAGAAACGGTACTGTGCAAATAGTACATTGGTGGAAATGGCAAGAATGACGATTTATTCCAAACCATGTCAAAATTTACGGACGGGAACAACAAGTACTGCATCTTCCGCTATAGACATTTCACGAAGGTTCTTAATGATAAGACCTCATATGAGGTCATGTGTCGCAGCAATGGATAACAATTCTAAAAGGGAATTCAAACCAAAGGGACAACAATATATAACGATTGAATGTTCGTCAGTGTCCAAAGCATATCGTCTGTAAGACAAAGGGTCAAATAGAACGACTGAACGACGGGACGTAATATTCAATGAAAATTTGCGCAACAAAAATAAAAGTGAATGCGAACTTACCAATAAGCAACCCCTGAAAGACATCAACATATGTTTCGATCCTATGGGAAACTCCGTAAATAACAATAAGAATGCTCAAAACAACAAAGTGTGAACATTTCATTTTTCGGCGAATCTAAAAAACAATCCACAGTTACAGTCAGCAGAACCAAGAACATGGCCTTATCAAATGCTATACATCTTCCAAGCCTTTTGCGAGAATTTAAAGACTGGGAAACTCATCCCTTATGAATTAATGTCGCTAATCAAGTTGTGCAAGTTGGGCCTTTATGGCGGTAGGTACCAATATGTGGACATGCGATATCACCATATTGGTGCTATAGGCCGAAACGAAAAAACCGTTTTGAAGTGTTCTCCAAAGATCGAATTGATTGCTGTTGTCTGGAGTAACAACGAACCAAATCGACGCATTCTAAATTTGCTCAGTTAATGAACGAATATTAAAATTTTATGTAAAGAGCATCTGCGTTGACAACATACACTTGCAACATATATGTTCATATTTATTCTTCTATATGATTTCCTCTACTTATCATCTGTTATTCTGTAATACTTTACTTTAATTCTTACGTACACAATTTTTAGTCTCGTTAAGTAGACATTAATTAGGAAGTCACCACAGCGTATTATTGCCAGGGGCAGGTTTATCAGCAGAGAATTTTTCCATCAACCTTTCAAAGGCGGCACAATAAAATTTATATAAATTTATGTTTATTTCTTATTGAGAGTAGATTGACCACATATTTTAGATTGCCGTAATGGCCCAATGCCAAAATCTTATTGAATATAACCTACAGACTATCAGTTTTCTTCGTTTTTTTACTATAGACCTGCTTGCCCGGTAAAGATGAGTAACTACATTTGGCTAATTGAATCCTTCCAGCACCAGAAAGTGAAGGGACGGATGAACAGATTTCACCAAAACAAAATATAGTCCCATCCATCAATGGGGCACAACAATTTATATAGTGCCTAAGGGATGCTTTACTACAAAGTCCACATCGAAAAGGTACTTCGATACTTAAAAAAAAAATTAAATTTTTTTACCTTTTCGCAAAGGGTGGATTTATCACTTTGTTCAAACAAAATGTGATGGAAATTAAAACTTTATTCGTTTAAACAAAATAATCTCTTAAGCGGGAAAAATGATTAACATTCAGTATAAAAAGCTAAAATATTTCAAATTTTATTTCCTACATTTACAAGCAAATAAAGCATTATTTATTTACCCATTTTTACGTATGGTTTCCAATTGTTCCAAAGTTAATTTCTTAGGTTTTCCATATTTATCCTTTTGTAAGCTTTTTCGAGTGATTTGTTTTGTTTAGTATATTTTATTTTTTTTATGATTCAGTTTTTATAATTTTTTTATTAAATAAAAAAAAATGAAAATATTTGATATGATAATGAGAAGGAAAAGAATATAAAACTTGTTTTGGTGACAGTGTTGGAGAAAGGCTTAACAGAAAATATTTCTTCTTTTCAAATTCATGAGATAATCGGACACAAAACATAATACACTAAATATAATTTCTAATAGTTGAAGAGATGTTAATGAATTTCTGAGTAATAACAGAATCAATGGAGATGCCTTTAACTTGAACGTGGAAAGCATATTATTGTGTAAATATGTAACAAAAACGTTACGAAAGAAGTGGTATACAATTGAATTTCATAAACAAAAACAGAAAAAAAGTATCAGAGAAAATAGTCTTACAACGATAAGCTGTTTAATAGGTTAAAGTGTGAATGTATGTATGTATGTATGTATTTATGTATATGCACTAGTTCGTTTAACAGCTGCTTCGGCACAGACTTACAAAACTATTAAAAGAAGAAAAGAATGAAAGCAATAAATACTTACCCGTTTTCGCGTAGCGTTTTCAACTGAGTATTAGTTAGACGACGTGGTTCGCCGGTAACATCTGAGGCAACAGCATCCAATTCATCAAATGGTGGCGCTATAAATAAGTCACGCAAATTAATCGGGCGCATTTTACGGCTACCACCCACCGTACTCGAGCCATTGTGGCCAAAACCGCTTAAAGCCAATGAAGCCGCAGATAAAGGTTGCGGCAAAGCTGATCAGAAGAAATAAAAGGCAGAATAAAAAAAAGAACAAGAAAAAAATATATATATATTTGAATTAGCGCGGATTTTGGGTTCCTCTGTTTAATTCAAACGTGCCAATGGATCGATCAGCGTAACTTTGGATCTTTGTGTGCAATTCAAGCTTTCCATCTTAATATTCACTAATGCGAAAATTAACAAAAGAAGCTAAAGTTGAAGATATTCGGTCTGAGAACTTTAATTTTATGGTTGGCAACGCATAACTTGTAACGGAGGCGAGCTGATCGATCAGCTTTCTTTATTTTTATGAATTTGTTAACATCCACAAAATTCACTGAAGGGTAGATCTCCCTGAACATAAAAAAATGTACTATATAAGAGCTATCTCATTCATCAGTAAAGAACATAAAAACAACGACAATAGCTGACCGATTCGATGCCTCTCGATTTCTTAGGATACCTACGAAAATCGCTACAGAGCAGGTTATGTTTTACAAGGCCCTTTACTTACAATAATTGCGTTGTTTACTCAAAAATTCAAACTGACTTACAATACTTAATGCTTCTTTTTATAAGGGTATTGATTATTTCGATGGTGGGTGTAAAAGTCAATAATGAACTGCTTACCTATTGGAAAACTTTTCCAGTGGTAAAGAAATTGTTCGGCTACCGTTTTAATTTGTTGCACCAATTGCTCAACTTCTGTGGGTGCTCCTACTAAATTGACTGTAAATTGCACCGGTTCACGTTCTGGTCCAGTCAAAGATAATGGACGCAATTGTTGTGCAGATGTGCTGGTGTTTAATGGCATTTTTTTTTCTCCACTCACTCTTTTTTTTCCCAGTCTCTACTGGCACTGGTCCTCTTTTTTATATTCCGAATTAGGTCAATTATTACTTCTAAAGAATTATTCAGTCGAGTTTACGGGCTTCAATTAATGTCTTCCTTTGATGATAATGAGGAGATGATATTAAAGTTGTTGTTGACAATTATTTTTATTAATGCTTTCCCAATTACGACATTTTTGCTTACTTAAAAATGAACAAAGAAAAAAGAGGAGACATTAAGAAAGAAATCATTGTCATAAGGCGAATGCTGGATACTCTTTCGTCGTCTTAAACAAATATATGAAAAAACAGATATCCAACAACCAATCACAACTATACCATTTGGAGGCTACTGGCGCAAATACTATTAAATCTTTAATGTTTTTGAATATTTTGCAACAGAATTATGTTTGTTTTTTTATGCAGCGACATCTTGCTCTTTATATGGTACATTATTTTTGTGCAGGATATATTAAAGTTTTTTAATGCATTTAATCTTTTCTGTCTGTCTGTGTAATGTATGTCCATGTATTTCTGTGCCTATAAAACGCTCCATTTAAAAAATATTTATATACACAAAGAAAAATTGCATTTTTAATATTTCTCGACGAAAAATGGTAAAAAAATAATATTTTGATGGACAAAACATATGTGAAAAGCTTGGATCGAACAAGACCTTGTGGTAACCAGTCCTCTTCGGCCATAAGAGAATAGTCAAAACTAAGCTACATTATGGCAACTAGATCGAGATTTTAGAGAAATCAGCCATTTTACAATGACTATGCGCGCAAAATAACAAATTCTGCACAAAAAATTTCGAAAAGGTCGATTTACGAGTTGACGTCTCTGCCACATAAGTTTGCTTCTGAAATGTGAACGTGTACAGGATAAATAAATACCATTTTTGGCATATTTTAGCCTTTTAATGGTATACTCGAAATCACTTAATCTTCAGTGTTCCATATCAATTACGTTTGAGCTCGAGTAAGTCCATTATGACTTTTATATTAGTCACGAGTTTCTCACAGAGTTGGTACTAATTGAAATGAGCGAAGAAAAAGTGTATGACTTTGTGATATCTTAAAGAAGCTTATGATCAAGTTATCAAGCAAGTGTATACGGAACAGTGACGTTTAAAATCTTCTTCATATATCCATAAAAAATTTCCACTTAAAAATTTCAATTCGAAAACTTAGCATCCAACACACATTACTCAATAAGTCTTCCGTCGAGCACATGTATGGCATCGCAGTTAACAGATCTATATATGATGTAATCCAACTGATTTGTGTGAAAATTGCATGATATTCTGACGATTAATTTAAAAGTTACAATTGTTTTAATGATGCTAAGTTCTTTGTTGGCTTGGACAGCCTGCGACGGTTGCTGTCCATTCGACTGCCGATTTGACTGTGGTTTGTCACGTATCCGTACCATGAAAAAATCGTTTTTATTTCGCCGTACTGTAGCCAAACAATTCTCTGAGTCATTAACAAGTTGTTTTCAAAAGTGAGCAAACGCGGCACTCTTCGGAACAGCGCTTTTAGTATAACATAGGTTTTAATTCATAACTCCTCATATTCAAAACAGTGAAGTTTATTATTACAGCGTGCGTTGGATTAAAAGTTCAATTTCCAAAAACTATGGTTAATAGGAGAGAGTTTTCGCTGTAGAAAAGGGAAGTTTCTAATAAATCAGTTAACAGAAGATTCCAAATTAAAATTCAACTTTCTATTCCTGATTTTTTTGATCTTTCCTTGTCGTTGTAATGTTTGATACGTAATAAGTGCAACAACTTGAATTTTACTGAAAATATTTTATATGCCGAGACTAAAGTGGTAGGAATGCCCAAGTATTGATTTTATTATCTATAGGCGTCACGATAAATAAATAAATGACAAAAAATCATACAGTTCACTTTTAGTACGGGGCAGAGCAGCACAAGAAGCATCTTTGACATAAGTATTGGTCTTATTTGCTGTAAATGAGAATTTTTGCTATTAGTTCCATGTAAGATTTAATGTTAACGCACACAAGGTCCCTTATAAGAAATGGCACCAAACGCTTCGGCGTCTAGCAATATCAAGGAAACTTAAGATTTTCTTTGCAAAATAATATTGCATGAATTGAGTCTATTCTCCATCGAACTTTATTTTTGACTGCAGATCTAATGATAAAATGAAACACGCCGCAGGGTAAACGGTACGCGCAGAAAGCTGACTTATTGAGTATGAAGTACCAAAAAAAAATGTAATATTAAGTGCAACAATTCAGTGTTTTGTCTTCTAACTCTCTGTTCATATAATTGTACGTTTATTTGTGTAACGTTTTAGTTTTAATAATAGGTTCAACATTCTGGACTAATGCAGCTTATATTTGTTTTTTTTTTTTTGCAAAAGAAAAAGGAAAAATACCAAATCGTGCCACAAATCGTATGAATTATAAGAGTGACCTTTAAAAGGCAGAAACACGCACTAGCACAGTCGATTTGCATACACTTGCATGAGTGCTTCCAGCTGAGGGCTTGAGGGATTAGATAGTAGAGAGTTAAAAACGAACGGCTCCAGTTTTATTTTATTTATTGGGTAAAACTCGACCGTAAAATAGCCGATACACTAATTCTGACTCTCTGTTTGTAGAACTCAGATATGTTTTAGAAATTTCGAATTTACTATCAAAAATATAATTATATGGGAAGGTAAGGTAACCATAGGCCGTTTTGCAAAAGCCGCTATGATTGCTGTTTTCCGACAGGTCGCGTTTATATGATTCAAAGCATAAGTTGATGAAAAAATCACGGTCGAGAGGACCAGTTTTAAAAATTTAATACTAATGTTGTCTCTGCCGACTGCATTAGATTTGGTAATGTACATTGCTTTCCATACTCCTTTTATAGTGAATAATGAGTATTAGCCATGTAGTTAACGTCTAGAAAGTGTTCGTTCAGTATATCAAGGTTAATGTCCCAGGCAGATTGACACTTCGTGATTCCTATCGCCATATGTAGACTTTCCCAAAGAACCCTTGGCTGGGAGATGAATATTCAACTTTCTGTTAAGACAAAGTTGCTTAATCTGCCAAGCATTTCTATACACCGTTTCTGAACCTGTGAAAAACCTCCCAAATAGCAACTAAGCAACGTTTTTAGACTTTATATGCTCCATTAGGGAGTCAAATCGGAATTTTAACATCATTCATTAACCAAGACGGTTTGGACGATTAAACGTTACAAGTTTTAATTGGTACGTGCTCGCTGTATAAAGCAAACAAATTGTAACTTACGTACGAAAATTTATCATTAATATTCATAAAATCTCAGGCAATATTCCACCAAACTTTGGAGGTGTTACGTAACTGTCTCATACTGATAGGCGACATGTATCTCAGTAAAAGTTAGTCACTCCGGTCTCCAATATCAAACAGTATATTTGAAGCTAAAAATAAGAGATCATGATCAAGTATTCCCCCTTGAGCAAATTGATCACAATCCAGAACAAAAAAGCTGTAGGAAAGACAAAACAAGATCAAGGAGATTTCCGTACAGCTAGTGGCATAATGAGCGAGCCAAGAATTCATAAATTTTAATGATTACCACGCACATCATTCAACTGCAAATCTAGACTAAAATCACCTCATATATTATATCATACAAGATAGAGTACTCATCTACACAATTATTCCTGTCTGGTTTGGGCTCACACATTCTCAGCCAGTTAGCAATACTACCGCCCACTTCCATACCGAAATATTTCTACTACCATTGCCAGAGTTAATTATTATTTTATGACTCGGTTAATGAATGAGCTTTACCATCACTTCATGTATCACGATTATGCCATGGTGAATAACATTATATTTCACGATTTCGCAGACTCCGTTATTAGTATTCGATATGACATCACATCTGAAATGGCACCCCTAAAACCTTCATGCGTCTGACTGACAATCCGCAAGACTATTTCCATGTTAACATCAGAAGCATATAATTTTGACAAGTTTCAACTTGTTGACATAGACTGGACAGCACTTATTTATCGTCAAAAGATTTGTATCAAGCACTACATTGAACTTCTTATTAGACCTAATATAATTTATGTACTTAGGAATAGGCTCCTTCTTAGCATAGTGATTGAAGCCTCTGCATTTATAGTACGCTATCGTTTGCGTTCCTTCATAAACTCTGCACTTTTCCCCACCCACGCTACCACAATCCACCTCCACCACAGCGCTGTAATGAGTTTTGCCATATCCGGTCATCTCATACGATCTAACAATGCTGATTGAACATTCTTTCAAGATTGTATTCTAACAACACAGTTTCGCAATCAAATCACGCGTCTTATAGTCGAACCTAATAAGATATCTTGAATCATGCCTTCGCTACTCTCTTGTTTACATCCAGGTTTAACCATAGTACATAGTAGGAACATCAGAAGTGGTTACCGGAACTTTAATAACTTTAATAACGTTTCCCATTCTTTGCATTGCTACCTTACAGAATATCCGCCGATTCATGCGAGTTTTCATTGCATTTATTCTGACACGCCCATAACTTATCAATCCTTAAGGGTTGCATAGACTAAATAGGCTCTAAGGATTTCTCGTTCCGTGAATTTCCTCGAAGCGCTTAGCATTCTACTCATTTGCCTTTTAAGTCCGCAACATGGGTTTCAATATGGCATCGAACTGACTCACATATTTGTAATTTTTCCCCATTTCCTCGTTCCACACATTTCCAATATCCCTCATTCTTAAAAAGCACAATCTAGCATTCGTTCTTGTACTCGGCTAATAGAGACTTGTTTTTCAAGACTCTCTTATTATTCGCTTTCTCTTTTAAAACCCTTAAGCATTTATTCACCATCAAAATTTTAGTTGAGTATTCATCCAAACCAGAGCATTTTGGATTAGGACAGTAAATTTTATCATACATTGGCATCTGACGCCATTTTCACCACGAATCGAAATTCTACATTTTGCGCGCTTTACTCAGTCATTACAATCTTAAGAATGATACGTTTTGAGCCAAAACGATTAAATTAATCTAAATCATCTCTATTTACTTGAAGATTAGTATTAAATTAAATTTTCTATAAGCAACTCAAAGTAGGACTGCCAACCTATGTAAATTTTCCAAACCACTTGCAGATGTATGCTTAAATAAATTGCCCACTATTTTTTTGTTGACTAGATTCTACAATTTT